AGTATGGTGGGGGTGGTAACAAAACAGATGGAGTCTGGCATTCAAGGTGCCTACACCAGACAAACACGCGCAAGGAAACGCCACAGAGTGGTGACTGAGGAAAGAAATAGGCAGGCTGGACCTGGAGCGGGCAATGTCAGGAGGAAGAAGGATGCCTCCGGGGAGACAGCACTTGTCTTCAGATCGGAATGGCAGGAATGATCAGCCACAGGCACACAGGATGCTGGGAATGCTCAGAGACAGAAGACAGCCAGTGCAAAAGGCCTGGGGTAGAAATGGCCTTTGCAAGTCCCAGGAACAGAAAGGACCACAAGGTGGAAATGCAGGGGTGTGATGGCTGGGATGGGGGGGCGGGCGACTACAGGCAGAGCAGGCATGTCTGGATGCCGACAGGAGGATTTTGTCCCCAGTACAGCAGGAAGTCATGGGTGGGAAGGGGCTCCACAGGAGGCGGGTGCAGCCCAAAGAAGGTGGCTATGGCTGTTCTCAAAAAGGAAGCTACCTGAGGGACCTGTTGGGAGCCTAAGGAATTGTGCAAAGGTGTTCCTCATTTGCTTAGTGCAATCAGAACAAGGAAGGAAACAGCTGCATATGAGGCCATCTGGTAAACAATGAGGCCATCCTGGTAAACAAACAGCTGTCTGCCTGCCGCGTGAGTGAGTGTCCCGTGCCACCCAGAAGGCAGTCTGGTGAAGCATGTCCAGCAGGGCTACACAGTGAGACCCTGCCGAAAAAATAAAAAATTATTTCCACTCCCAGAGCCAAGAGATGGCTCAGGAGGTAAAAGAGCTAGCCACAGGAGCCTGAAAACCTGAGTTTGATCCCTGGAAACCAAGTAAGAAGCCGGTGCTCTGGGATTCATCTGGAACCCCTGCACTCCTGCCACTAGATGGAAGGTAGAGAAAGAAGTCTCTGGAAGGTCACAGGCCAGCTAGTCTGGAGTACCCTACTCAGCAGAAACAAGTGAGGCCCTGACTCAAAAGGAGAGAACTGAATCCCGACATTTATCCTCTGGCCCCCCCCCCCCCCCACACACACACAGAGAGAGAGAGAGAGAGAGAGAGACAGAGACAGAGACAGAGACAGACAGAGAGAGAGAGAGAGAGAGGCTAATTTTACTGCCTCTTAAAAACCTCTTAGTTCTACCAGGCAGTGGTGGCGCACGCCTTTAATCCCAGCACTCCGGAGGCAGGTGAATCTCTGTGAGTTGAGGCCAGCCTGGTCTATAAGAGCTAGTTCCACAACAGCCTGGATAGCTACAGCAAAACCCTATCTCAAAAAACCACCACCAACAAAAAAACAAAAACAAAAACTCTTGGATCCTCTGAAGGAGAAAAAGGGGGGGGGGTGCAGGGAGGCCCTCTTGAAGGCCAGGGCACAGCTGCTGAGAGATGTCTGGGGAATCAGGCCTTCCTCAGGGCAGGAGGGGCAGCCCAGCAGAGTTTCCTTCAAAGAGGACGAGCTCTTGCCATCTGGAACCTTCCAGCAGAGCCTGGAGTGAGAGAGGGAACAGCTGGTTCCGGAGCAGCACGGCCTGTGCCTCTATGGGTTGGCGGCTGGCCTCAGGGAATCATAGAATCCTGGGACACAGAGAGGTCCATGACTCTGGCCATGGGAAGGTGGGGTTCTGTTCTTATTGCTAAGAGATACTGAAGATGGGCCTGGTGGAATAGGCCTGTGCTCCCAGCTACTCAGGAGGTTGTAGCTGAGAATCCTTGGTTCAAACTCTATCTGGGCTACAGAGCGTGTTCCAGCTCAATCCGTGAAACTTAGTGAGACCCTGTCTCAAAAATAAAATGCAAAAAGACAGGTTGGAGATGTGGATCAGCAATAAGAGTGCTGGCCTAGCATGGGACACTGGGTTCCATCCCAGTCTAATAAGGAAGGGAGGGAGGAAAAAGAGAAAGGAGGAGGCCCTGACTGGCTCTAGGAACATATATGCAGCTCTCTCCTGGGTAGACAGGTGTGCCCAGCCCTGTGACCATCCCAGGAATGTTTCTGTCGCGTGGTCTAAGAAGATCCCTGAGTGCCTGCTCTCTCTGAGGATGTGGCTTAGCCAGCCTAGGCCCCACATCTGAGAGAGAACAGGCTGTCCCGCAGAGTCTCACTTCTACCCACCCACCTTTCACAACTTCCAGGAAACCTCCTTCTCCAAGAAACTGTTGTGAAATCAAAACTGTCACACCAGCCAGTGCGAGCGGCACCCCATGCCACTCAGGATTTAAAATGCCACTTTCCAAGCTAGGAGTGGTGGCATGGGCCTATATAATTCCAGAATTTGGGAAGTGGGGGCAGGAAGATTAGAAATTCAAGGTTATCCTCAGCTACACAGTAAGTTGGAGGTCAGCCTGGCTTACATGAGACCCGATCTCAAATAAACAAAATGAAAATAACAGGGGCTGGGGAAATGGCTCAGCAGGTGGAGGCACTTGCTGCCAAGCCCGATGACAAGAATTCCATCCCTGGGACCCACGTGGTGGAGGAGAGAGCTGACTTTTGAAAGTGGCCCCTGACCTCCTCATACTGCTGGGGCACATACGAATGTACACACACACAATAAACATAAAAATAAATAGTTATTTCAATTAGGACTAAAACGATGTTTGGAAAACACTGGCCACCGAATGTCCTATGCCTTAATGACCATTGGGACTATCTGTGACTGTGCTCCAGAGTCTCAGCAACCACTGGGAACAGACCTGCCCTCTGACTTTGACCAGTTCCTGCCACTCACTGGGTCTGGTTATAGAGACCCGCCAACCACATCACTTCATGTATCAAGGGTCGCTGAGGTCTTTAGACACAAGAGGAGGCCAGGGCACTGCCACACTCAAAGACAGGGTCTCTGCTGCAGCCTCATTGCCAAGGAGGGCCCAGGGATCCCAGTCCTCTGCCCTGCATGTCACTTCTGTCTGTTCCTACCGGGTGAGCAGGCCTGCACCACAGGACAAAGGTCCTATGTCATGCTCCTTGCTGGGTCCAGTGCCTGGGACTGCAAGGGCTTCCCATATGGAGGAGGCTCCATTGGTGAGTAGGGAGTAAAGAGCCCACACCTTTAATCCCAGCACTCAGGAGGCAGAGGCAGACAGATCTCTGTGAGTTTGAGATCAGCCTGGTCTGTAGAGCGAGAACTGTAGAGCGAGTTCCAGGACAGCCAGGATTACAAAGAAACCTTGTCTTGGAAAAACAAAACAAAAGCCCACTGGTGTCAGGAAGAGGGATTGTGTGTGTGAGGGCTTTGCACCCCTCTGAGAGCCAATTCACGTGGGTGTTTTCTGAACTAGAGCCATCTGGCTCTGTGAAAAGGACCCAGTGTCTTAGGGTTTGGAACAAACCAGAGAGTCATGTGAGCAGCCACAGCCACTGGACCCCATCATCCACTTACTGGAGGCCACCTGCTCCAGCTTTTGTTTCCCAACCAGAACCTTCTCTCCTGGAGGGAAGAAGGAGCCTCACAAGGCTTAGGAAGATCCTGAGAGGTATAGGATTCACGAGGCCCCTCCCACAGCCTGGGAGAGAGACAGACCTGGGACACGTGGAAACACAAGAAGCAACTAACTGTCCACAGCCTCACGAGACAACGAGCGTGCTCACAGCTCTGCAGCCTCCAGAATCATGTGGGATAAAGGTCATGGCAGTCAGAGTGTACTAACGTGAGCCAGGCCCTCTACTCAGGCCCCTCAAGGGAGGTCTTTAGACAATCCCGCCCATCTTATAGGCCAAGGCTGCAGGGGGTTCACTTCTCTGAAGTTAATGCTCTCGAGAGGAAACTGCAAGTGAAATGGGTCTTCGCAATTCACTTCCACAGAATAGGGTCACATGAACAAAGCAGCCTGGTAGGCTGGAGCAGAGGCTGTTCTGGAGAACATTCTAGAAAGCCATGCCAAGGACTCAGATGTCAGTAAGGGATCTGAGAATGCACCTGGGGTGTGTGCCGGTGTCACACAAGAAGGGTGCTCATCGCTGTGACTCAGGCCTCAAAGTGGAAATGGCCCTAGTGGGAAACTGCCCAGAGCCATGCGCCCCCAGTGCTGCTCCCTACTGCAGCCAACAGACACCCCAGAGGCAGGAAGTCAGGCCTGTGGTTGCATAAGAGAAAACCCGGAACAGTCAGCATGACCCTTACTTCCTGCCTGTCACCACCAGGCCCTGTCCCAATGACTCTTGTCTTCAATCCTATGAGGTTAGAGAAGCTGGCAAAACCACCAAACATGGATGCATCTTCAGGGAGGAGGGGGTGTTACAATCACTGGGCACTGTTATGCTCCTATCACAGAGATTAAAAAAAATAAACAAAAGTTTAGCAAGACCAGCCTTCAGGCTAAGGCGAGAGACTAGCCTTCAGGCTGAAGTGACAGGCCAGCCTCCAGACTAAAGTGATGAAGCTGCCTTCAGGCTGAGGTGATGAAGCCAGCCTTTAGGCTGAGGTGACAGGCCAACCTCCAGATTGAGGTGATGAAGCCAGCCTCCAGGCTGAGGTGACAAGGCCAGCCTTCAGGTTGAGGTGACCATTGCCCAAAGCAACAGGCAGGTGCAGGTTGCAGACAATGCTGGAGATCATGACAGTCTGCAGGGCCCTGCATCTGTATGCAGCTTTCAGAGCTTTGGGGATACTAGACCTTGGTCCTCAAAGTCTTGTGGAATAAATGAGCATGCTCGCACACACACACACATACCAATCTACGCATGCACATATACACATACAGACACGTACACCTATACACATATAATGCACATGAGGAGGAAGAGTTAGAAGCCTACATACCCAAAAAATGTGCAGCAGTTTTTAGATGATGGGCAGCAGACAGATGTTTTGCTTTGGGCATATCTAAACTTTCTACACTTTCCACAAAGCATGTATCAGAAATAGAGAAAGAAAACTTCTGGGGAAACAAAAGAATCAGGAGAGAGAATCCCAGACTCGACCTGGACAATGTGGTGACAAAGAGCAAACCAGCTTTGAAACATAAGGAGCTGCTGGACCCAAGAGCCAGCCCTACCTCTCTGACTGCACCCCATTCCTGAGCGAGCCCACGTAGCTCTTCTTTTTGTCCACGGGCATCACATCTGCGTAGCCACCTTTCTCGTCGCTGAAGACACCTGCGTGCACAGCTGCCTTGCAAATGCTGGACGTCTGCAAGGACAGGAGGCCGTGGTTAGTGCCAGCACCCAGACACCTGGTGCCGCCTATCACACTGACTCCAGGAAACAGCCCAAACCGCCTTGGCTCCTGAGCGTCCTTCAGAGAACGGCCACTGTCACTCACCCACAAATTCTACTCTCATTCCACAAGTCTGAGCTGTCACTGCGGGGTTTTGGGTCTCAGCAGGTACCAAGCAAAGACCCTGCTTCTATGGAGTTGAGGAAGCGAATAAACACACAAACAGGTTGATGAGGGAAATAAAATTAGATCACAGGAGGCAAATGGGCCAGAAGAGGCTGCTTCAGAGCAGCGCTGGGCAGACTAGCAACAGAGAAGTTCCAGTCACAGTCCTGTGGCTGCTATCTGTAAGCGTGGTGTTCTAGGCAGAGAGAGCCGACTATGCAAAGGCCCTGAGGTAGGAGTGAACACATCATGTCCCAGGAGGAGAAAGGAGGCTAGGATGGCTGGGATGCGTGCTGGGATGAGGGCAGTGTGAACACAGGTGAGCACTCTCGGATCCTCATACACACTAAGGCTCAGTGTTGGTGTTGGCTGTTCTGGTTTTTAGACCTCAGGTGATGCAGACCCGGTTGATGAGGCTCTGAGTTCAAGCTCATGGGGTCTTAGCACATTGGGTAGAAGACAGGAGGGACACATCCATCTACTTTCCATCCAGAGGCAGGACCATCCAGGGTGATCCCAACTGAGGTCCATTTAAGGCCAAGAACTGCCAAGTCACCTCCACAGCCATGGCCATGGTGTTTTCCTCAGGCTGAGCAGCCTATGTAGATTGTGGATTCCATCTTTTCTTCCTGTGTGCTCCATGGAAATTGAATCTGAAGCCTTGTGTGCACCGACCAATTACCCTGCCTCAGAACTACACTCCCAAACTGTGGTCTCTGTCTTTGCTGCACCGTGGGACCAACTGCATGCAGACTCGTCATAAAGATGGTGCCCAGGCATCTTAACCTCCTTCCTGGAGGTCTCGGCTGCACTAGGGCTGAGCCATCTCCAGCCTAGTATGAGAATACGCATGCTATCCCTGAATGACTCTCAGTCCCGGCTGTGGCCTATGATCCCGTTTGTCCTAACGCGGCGGGTGTTAACCATTCTTCCCACTTCTCGGGCCAGCGAGCCTGGCACACAAGGTCAGTCACTTTGCCAAAGCCACTTGAGAACTGTCGACGCCAACTGAAGCCAGGGTGAGGGCAGGGTCTGTTCCTGCGGTCAGCATAACAATTGTCCCCAGAGATGACCACAGCCTAATCCCCAGAGCCGTGAACAGCAAAAGGGGCTTTGCAGATGGGATTAAGTTAAGGAGGTTGGGGGTGGGAGATTACCCGGTTTATCCCAGTGGCCCAGTGACACCACAGAGTCCTGTAACAGGGAGGGGCTCCGAGCTGGAGCTCGTCAGACTCCTCCAGCCATTGCTGACTTTGAATAGAGCAGGAGCCAAGGCATGCGGGTGGCCTGGAGAGACCAGCAGAGGCCAGGGCATTGGTCTGTTGGTTGTCCTCTTGCCACACCGAAGGATGGAGTCAGCGACACGCCCCACAGTCTCCGGAGGTGTGCGAATGGAGGCTCACACCAGGGAGTGTCGCCTCCCAGAACCATGACCAAGGTACTCCTTGGACAGCCTTCTTCAGCCTGGTTGGTGTCCATCTTCCAAAACCACGAGACTCAAGAGTCACTGATGCCTAAGAAGACACGTGGCCATTTTCTCCAGGTTGGCTCGACCATAGCTGTCTTCAGTCAGAGCAGCTGGGATCATAATACGAGAGCATCACGTGATCTGGCATGTGGACATTCCCGAAAGAGGGGAAGGGGGTTCCCAGAACTCTGAGAGACCTCCTTGCTTCTTGAGGTTATTCAGAAGATAAAGAGTTGACTGGTGGGGTCTCTTCCTGTATAATTATGTGCCACCCAGGGGGACTCTTTACTGGTATGTATGGCTGCCTAAACACCTATAACTTCCTGGTGGACTGTGAGTCACCCATAGTGCTGTACGTAACCCCAATAAACTCACTGGTTCAGAGGCTGAACCTTGATAGAATTTTTTCTTTGGTCTATGGGTGACCTCTCCACTTTGGGGAATCAACATCACATGGCCTCCTCGGAAAAGCTACCCTCCCCGCTGGCCAGTTAGATCTGCTGTCAAAAGTTCGAGTCCAGGAGTCCTTGAACACTCCCACACCCAAGGCTCAAAAAACTGAAGAGCTGCTCTTTAACACGCTGGGGACATGTCTAGTCTTCTTCAACCAACAAAAGGTGCAAACAGGATGGTTAGCCCCAAGTGGTCCTGGGAAGAGCCTGGGAGACCAGGAAGAGCTGGTGATTGGCAAGGTCTGGCTCCAATCCTGAGCACAGCAGGATGGCTGGTCCTTTTGACTTTGTGGAGAAGCATTTTTGTTTGTTTGTTTGTTTTTTTATTTTCTTCCCCTGAAGAAGGATCCACAACTTCCAATGCCCTAAGAGGTTTGTACTTTGTAAGGTTAAGTGGCAACAGATCAAATTTGTCTTCGAGGAGATGCTGGTGACATCAAGCCATCATTCAGTTCCAGAATCCCCAGGAACTACTTCTTGGAGGCGCATTATACAAGTGGAGTATAAATGGCTTATTGTGCTGATTGGCAACTGGCCAATCACTGTGCCTGTCCCCCGGCCATGTTCATCCTGTCTAGGGACTGCTATTTCCAGGAGCAAGGCATCAGCTTCCACTGGGGCGGATGCCAGGAAAGGCCTCCTAGTATCCCCAAGTCCCCTGGGGTTGCACACTCACCCCAAGGGAGGTGTACCTTTCTGGAGGCCAAGAGGCCAAGGCTGCAGCCTCAGGGACAGCTCTTCACCCCCTCCCTGGAGAAACTCCAGATACCATGACGCCCACATTTCCTGGATGAAGCATTCATGCAAGGCAGGCTGTCCTCACATCTCACGCCTGGAGATGCTCACATCTCCGTCTACTGCTAGACAGACACGTTCTTTCTCCTTTCGTCTCCCCACATCCTTCCTCCCTCTGTCTCTCCTGCCACATGTAGGGGCTGGTCACTGTCTGCTCATGCTGGCGCAACATTAATTCAGGGCCATTTCATAACAACTTCTGTGAGCTTAGAGGCTCATCAGCTAGCCCTGGTGTTTGGGAGCTGTGGGACCCACGATGGCCTGGTGGGAACAGCACAGGTAATACTGGAGCTGTGGCCAGCCTGTCACTTATTCTGACTTCATGGTCCCCCAAGGTAATGGTCATTATCAATCTTTTCCAGCAGATGGGAGGGCCAGGAGCTAAACAACCTACTCACAGTCACTTAGAAGGATGACAGAGCCATGATCCCACAGACAAGGATGGTAAAGCAGAAAGGGCTACTGTGTTTCTCAAAGCAAGGCTCAGAACTGCACACGACCTGGTGCACAGTAACTGTCATAGGCAAAGGCCAGTAACTGCCAAGCCTACTGTCACCATCACCAGGACCCCAAACCCTCAAGGACTGTCCTTGACCACCGAGGACCTTCAGCAGCAAGTCACAACCACCAACAGCCATGCCCCTTGGGAAGGTTTCAAACACAGATTCTGCAGCTCTCCTCAGGTCCCCTGGGTCAGGACAGCTGAGGAGGGGGTTGTCCCATCTAAACACTGCTCCTCTCCAGGATCCTGATGCCCAAACAACGGGGGTTTGTCTGAGCAGTAGGTGAGGCCAGAAGGATGGGTAAAGGAAACTGAGGCTCAGTGGGAAAAGACATCCACATGGGTAACTCCCCCGGCTGGGGCCAGCTCGGGCCTCCTGACCTTGGCTCTGCTGTCTGAGCCACACCCGGACAATCCTGCTTGTAGCTCACCACAAAGGGAGCTGCCGCCAGGACAGGCACTCTGCTAAAAGGCTGTATCCGTGGCACTCGGAGGCCCTTCAAAGGTCTGGAGACTACACTCCCAAAATAAATCTCTTAGCTAAACAGACATTTTCCAAGAGGCAGCATCATTTCCCAGAATACAAAGTGACCTAGAAACACAGGCCAGCAGTGCCTGGGGATGGAGACACAGGCTTCCTCCCTTCTCCTGCCTACAGCTCTCTCTCCATCTTCATCCCCCCCCCACACACACACCTTTCTGCTTTCTCCTTCCTTACTACCTTCTTTACAAAGGGTTTTTAGCATCAATGACTACAGTATTAATTTTTTTTTGGATGTTGTTCAATACTAAGCCATCACTGTGTGCCAAGCCAGAAGCCCTGCCACTTCCAAGACTTATAGTTCAAGTGGATACACTCATTAAAGGCTTCCTTCACACACGTGCCTGCTCCCGTGGGTGGAGGTACAGGTAAGTAGACAGAGGCAGAATAAGAAGAAAGGGAGCATGCAAACCCATCTTATCTCTCTATGTGTTCACTGTGGGTTTGAGCCAGTCTGTTCTAAGCCTTAATCCCCTCCCCCTTTGCAAAATGATAAGGATTCTTAAACAGGTGTTTTTTTTTTTAAAAAAAAAAAACTTGAAACACAGCAGGTACTAAAGAAAAAGCTTTGTGGTCTTACTATCACATAGCTCCATGTAGGAAGAAGAGAATGGAGCACCCAAGTTTCTGATTTCTAAATTTTTTTTTTGCTTTATGTGCTTAATTGCCATGTTATTTTGTGCATACAGACTTGATTTTTATATCTTCGTAAACTGTGTCTCTTGTGCTTTTGCATGAAGAATCGTTCTGTTCTGTTCAGTACATTTAACTTTGGTCAGCTAATAGTATGCAACTTTTTAAATGGCTTGTATCTGGTTGAAATAGTTTTGTCCAGTCTTTTATTTTGAAAACATTTTAAAATCACAATCTGGAGCTTATTTTATTTTTTTTCTCATTTCTTTGTTCTTTTTTTTATTTTCCTTTTAGTTTTGAGGACGGAACTCGGGGCTTCATATTAGGTAAACCACAGCAATCGATGCATGGTATTTTACTTCTTCAGAAAAATTGTAACATTTAGAACTTCATCTCAGCTAAACAACTTTCCAGACTCTTTTTTTTTTCTTTTAAGACTCATAAAGAAAAAAAAAAGACAAGAAGAAAAGCTTAGTCATGAAGGAGGCCACTGTGGCCTTATGGAACCAAGTGACTTCACGGTTACAGGAATCTGGGACAATTGAAGGCAGATGGAAGCAAAGATGGCGGTGGTGAGGGTAGAGGACCATTAACAGGATGGGGAAAGTGTGAGCGATGCGTTAGCTGGAGACAGATGGTATGACCAGCTGGCAGGTTTTCGGGCTAGTAGATACCCTGGGCTGGAACAAGTCTGGCTGACTCTGGGATTTCCACTCACGAAGAGGAAAAGAACTCCTCAGAGGAGCCTCAGCCTGTGGGCTGCTGGGATGGGGGGTGGGCTCGAACCTTCTGGGTCACTGTGTCCCTAAGCCCCGGACACCAGAGGGAACACACTGAGCTCTGAAAACCAACTTAGGAAAACTGAGCCTTCACATCTGGGTTAGGAGGGAAGAGAGGAATGGAAAGGTGGTTGTACTGGCTAGTTTGCTGTCAACTTGACACAATCTAGCGTCATCTGAGCAGAGGGACTCTCGACTGAGAAAATGCCTCCATCCGGTTGGCCTGTGGGTAAGTCACTCGGTCTTTTCCTTGACTAATGATGGACGGGGGAGGGACCAGATCACTAGGGTCAGTGCCACTCCTGGGCAGGTGCTCCTAAGCCATGAGAAAGCGAGCAAGCGAGCAAACCACCAGGAGCCAGGCAGTAAACAGTGGCCAGTCAGCTCTTGCCTCCAGACACCTGTCCTAGCTTTTCTCAGGGACAGTGTGAACTCTGAGAGCTGTGAGCTGAAATAAACCCTCTTCTCCCCAACTGGCTTTTGGCAGCCAAAGAAACCCTAACTATGTCAGTGATTGAATATCTGAGAGAGCGAAGCTATGAAACAAACACAAAGACCTTCAAATCATGAAGGGCCTTCCAAGTGTGGGGAGACAGGCTAGGGCTTCCATTCATAAAGACAGACCGTGGGAGTCCGACCCCTCTATGGATGGAACACTGGAGCCATGGCTGTAGCCACAGGTGGGCTAAGTGTAACCAGAGGCTACGGCATGGGATCTCAGGTCATAGCTTCCACACCTTGGGACAGGGTTTCTGAGGTGGCCGCTGAGCAAGCTGGCCCTACTCACGTCAGCGTAGATGTTGGTTCCGAACACAGGGGCCCAATAGGATGGCTCTTCTCCGCAGCGTGCAGGACACCGGACTCTGGAAATGAGAAGGAATTCTATGGAGGACCAGCAGAAGATGCGTCCTGGCCTCACCCCTTGTCTGAGTTTTCAGATTCACAGTCTTTAGATGAGGAAGCAAAGCTACCGTACTCTCTTGCTTTCTCTCATCACATTTTTATCTGCTCTGTGCACATGTGTGTGTGCGTGCACGTGTGTGTGCATGTGTGTGTGTGTGTGAACTCTGACATGCCATGGCACATGTGTAGAGATCGGAGCTCAAGCTGCAGGAGTCTGCACTGGCACCCCATGAGTCCTGGGGAGCGAGCTCAGGTTGTCAGGCTTGGCAACAAGAGCCCTCACCCCTTGAGCCATCTTGTTAGTCTCCAGCTTGCTCTTTACAGACAACACAGAGGCCTGGGAATCATGGCTCAGGGGTGGAACATTTCCTTGTACACCTAGGGCCAAGGATCTAGCCCAGCACTGACTAAAGCAAAGGAGACAATTGTCGTTCTCCCGCCACCCCCCCCACACACACACCATGGCTGTGAGAAACACATCCTTGTCTTTGTTTAACCATGCATATAGAACTTGAAAATCCCATGGAAACGGTTCCAAAGAAATAAAGCAGAGGAATTAGGCCCCAGGAGAGAGAGGCAGGTTGGGCTGTGGGATTGCACCTTCCTTTCCTGGGTGTTGGCGGGGTGTGCCGTGGGTGCAGAACATAGATAGTTATCAATGAGTTTTCCCTATGCGGGAAGGAAGGGTGGAGGGCCCTCACCTCAGTGACTCAGAATATTCCAAGAATGGCACAGAAAACTTGAGGCAGAAAGGGTTAGATTGCCATGGTGGCCTCAGCCCAACTGATGGCCCCAGGGATGAAGAGGGCTCCTCAGACTGGAAATGTGTGGGCCCAGGTGACTGGCAAGCCCCATGTCAGGAAGAAAAGCATGAACTTTGCCTTAGAAAAGGCCTTTTGTGTCTGTTTGGAACAGTTTACCACAGGCTGAGCCCAGGGACCACAAAGCCAAGATGGCGGCTGAAAGCCACCTGGCCCAGAGACAGGCAGGATGCTTGGCAGGAAAGAAGCCAACCAGCCAGACTGAGGCAGTTCCTGAAGAGGAAGGGAAGGAACAGGCAGGGAAACAGTGTGTGTGTGCATGTGTGTGTGTGTGTGTGTGTGTATGTGCTGTGTGTGTGTTTATGTGGTCTGTGTGTGGTGTATAGGTATGTGGTGTGTGTATAATATGTGTGGTGTGTGTATGTGTGTATGTGTCTTTGTGGTATGTTATGTGTATAGTATTGCGTGGTATGGGGTGTGGGAGGGTATGTGTTTTATGTATGTGTGTTTGTGGTGTGGTATGTGTTGTGTATAGGATGAAGTATGTTTTAAAAAACAGTTTAAGAGTCTAAAAACTCTCAAACCTGCTCCTGGTGGTGTCGGGCCAGAAAGCAGCCTGGGCATGTGGACCCTGCCCTTTCCCTCTGTTTCCGTAACACTCAAGAAATCCACTAAATTGCTGCGATGTTTTCTTGACTGCTTGAACCAGAGTTGTCTCCATAACAGCATCCTCGCAGGCTCTCCCCTGTGCAGACCCCCGGGTTCTACCCACTGTCCCTTCCAGAATCTATTCTCCAGGCCCCAGGGCTCCCAGGACGGCATATCACCCGCACTAGAGGTGGCTGTCCAGCTAAGGGTGCTGGATATGCACCGCACCGCACCACACCACAGCAACGGTGGGGCTGAGCTCTGCTCTGGCCAAAGGTCATCTTCTCTTTGCTGTATTATCTGACAGGGGAGCAACTTGTAACCAGCAGGCAAATCCAGGCTCTGCTGCATCCAGGAGGGGGGCATTTCTGTGTCCCCTTCCAAGGGGCTCTGGTGGACCTTTAGAGACATGGGTCCCCAGGACAAGAAGAGCCCTCTGTGGTGAGTAAAGACTCAGTCAGACACAGTGGCTTTGTTATCTTCACCAAAACTGGGTAGAGAAGTTCCCAAGCCCAAAGTTCTCTCCATTGAGGCTCTGGTGTCTGGGGAGGGCCCCACTTACAGTGGGAGTTAAATATCTCCAGCTTAGATAGAGGGCTGACTTCTGCGTCCAGCCCTGCACAGAGCCTGACACACATGCCTGACAGAGGGGAGGCAGGCCTGCAGGAAGACACTTCAGGCGAGGGGCATCTGTTCCTCTTACCTCGGGCAGTGAGTGGCCGGCTTCTCAAAGGGACAGAGCTGCGCAACTGTGGTGTGGCAGTCCACACTCTGCTCTGAGGACAGGAGACAAAATGTCGGGTCAACAGAGTGGAGACAGCCCCACAGCCCAATGTGTCTGCCCGTGTGTACCTCTCCCTTGGTCTCTCCATGAAAGAATCCCATGCTGCCATTTGAAAACTGATGCTTGCTTTCAAAACCTGCCCCCTGTTCTGCCATCTTTGACCATCCCAGGCGTAATTCTATGTCTACCCACGGGGAAGCTGGGGGACACTAGTGGCCACACTGGCCCAATTGCTAGCTCCTGCCTCAGTTTCTCATCTCCCTGGCATCTGCCCCTGCCAGGACAGTGATTCCACCCATCAAGGCCTTTGACCGGCGGACCTGACACTGACCATGTCTATGGTATTCAGGTGGAAGCCATGCCCCTGTGTTTCTGGCTCAGCCATTTATAGCCAAGTTCAAAGCTAAATATTCTTAGAAACCAGTGAGAGAGCAGGTGGTGGTGGAGCAGAGGCAGGCGGATTGCTGGGTTCCAGGTCAGCCTGGTCTACAGAGTTAGTGTCAGGGCAGCCAGGGCTACACAGAGAAACCCTGTCTTGGAAAAGCCAAAAAAAAAAAAAAAAGAAAGAAGGAAGGAAGGAAAGGAGGGAGGGAGGAAGAAAGGGAAGGGAGAGGGGAAAGGAGGGAAGAAAGGAGGGAAAGAAGGAAGGGAGGGAGGAAGGAAGGAGAGAGAGAGAGAGAGAGAGAGAAGAAAAGAAGAGAAGAGAAGAGAAAAGAAAAGAAAAGAAAAGAAAAGAAAAGAAAAGAAAAGAAAAGAAAAACCAGGGAGAAAAACGCCCTCTCCTGACAGCCTTTCTTAAGAACAATGGTGCAGGCTGAAATGATAACTACAAAACAAAGATGAAGGAAGGGAGATTTCCTGGGAAACCCCAGGCTCCGCACACATCATCCTTCTCCCTCGGGGCCTGGCTGGCTTACCTTTTACTTTGGACACCGTGAAGGAGCTAGAAGGCTTGTATTTGCTGGAAAGGAAAACATGAGTCAGGGCATTCTGAGTACTAACAGCCCACATGCCTCACACTGCCTGAAGCTTAGACTATTCCAGAGTGGGACTGCATGGCGTTTTTGTGTACTTGTTTGTTTTGTTTTTCAAGAAAAGGTTTCTCTGTGTAACAACCCTGGCTGTCCTGGAACTCACTCTGTAGACCAGGCTGGCCTCGAACTCACAGAGGTCCTCCTGTCTCTGCCTCCCAAGAGCTGGAATTAAAAGCATGCACAACTACTGCCCAACCAGAACCCTTCTTAGAATAATACACTTCTTTTTTTGGTTTCTTTATGTATGTTTCAGGAGGATTAGAGATCACTGAAGTGTGGGCTAGCCTCAAACTCATGGTGATCCTGCTTCAGACAGAATAAAGGTTTTTAAATGCATAATATGAAGCAGAGTCAGTGGTCAGAAGGCTAGAGATGTAAGATCCAGAACGTCACCAGGTGGCCCGACCCTCGGAGACCTCTGACTGGATCAGCTGGCAGCTGGGAGTTAGTCAACTGTGCTGCATGGGGTGGCTTTTGTTTTCCTGTTTTCTTAGAATATTGCCAGAGTTTCGATAACATGTGGGGATGAGAGTGTGCTTGTGAGGGGTGGGAAGGGGTGTGTGCTTGTGGGCTGCACATGCAAGTATGTGCACACATGTGTGAAGACTGGAGATCAGCCTCAGGCACCATTCACGGGGGTTTTTTTTGTGGGGGGGGGGCTCTTACTTGCCTGGAACTCAGCAAGTAGGCTAGGCTGCCACTGAGCTCCCCAGTGCCAGGATTACAAGTACACACCCCACACAGGGCTTTTTACACAGGCCCTGGGGTTTGCACGGCAAGCACTTTACCAACTGAGCCATCTCCCTGGCCCTCAACACCACTTCTACAATAAGAGAACACTGTCAGGATGTCTCCCTCTGCCCCTCCATCCCACAGAGAACAGGGCAGGTACCTCAGGGACTCCACGCCATTTTTTTGAGATTTGACAAAGAAGGGGACCATCCCGTTCCTGGTGACATCCACCAGGCCACCTTGATCATCGATGACGCCATGATGGACAGCAGCCCGGCATATGCTGGAGGACTACAGAGCAGAGAAGAGAACACAGATGTAGTGTTCCTCTCCCAGAACCATCTGAGGCTCTTGACCCCAGCCAACCAAAAGTCAAAACGTTGGACCAAAATACACCCCACCCAACCATCCATTCACGGTTGTCCTTAGCCCCACCCTTGTTCCTGGAGGGCTGAAGAGCTCATCCTAGCTGATTAAGCCCTTTTAGCCAAGCATGTTGACTCCAGTCCCACAGTGATATTCAGTCCTAGTTCCCAGGAGTGGCTTCAGCAGCTTTTGAGCCACTAGACTATGCAGATGGGTCCATTCAGATGGTCCAGGTTGAGTAAGAACAGAACATGAATCTCATTTGCTTAAGCTACCTGGTGGGGGTTTCCCATGTGCTGGGTACAGAAACACTGGCCACACTCACACTCTCATAAAACAGAGATCCAAAAATCTTCGCCTTGTTGTTCCGACAGCCTGCGGGGCACTGGTACCTGATGGGTGGGAAAAAAGCTCATTGGTGAGAGCGCCCAGTGACGCTGCCGTGTTTCCTCGCTAGCTTTCTTACTGAATTCAGAAATGTCACTGATGGATCCCACTGCTATGAACAATTATGTGTGCTTCTGTGTGTACGTGTTGTGGGCGTGGATGCCAGCAGATGTCGGAGAGCTATGTGTGCTTCTGTGTGTATGTGTTGTGGGTGTGGGTGCCAGCAGATGCTGGGAGAAAGAGGGCAGAATGAGGGAGAAAGCATGGAGCCACCAGAGATAGACACTGGGAACTTTACCCGGTAAGCCACAGCCACATGGCAATATACAGACTAATAGAAATGGGTTAAATTAATATGTAAGAGTTAGCCAATAAGAAGCTAGAGCTAATGGGCCAAGCAGTGATTTAATTAATACAGTTTCTGTGTGATTATTTCGGGTCTAAGCTAGCTAGGCAGCCGAGAACCAACAAGCAGCCCCCTCCAACAATTATGTAGTTGAGACTGGCCTCAAATATGTGATGATCTTCCTGCCTCTGCTCCTCAGTGTTAGGATGACAGGCATACAGTACCCAGTGGGGGGGTGCAGGAGAATGGTAGCCAAAGGTCAGTGTTGGCTGTCTTCCTTGACCACTCTCCATCATATTTTTCTGAGACAAGTCTCTCTCTGAACTTGGAGTTCACCAGTTAGGTAGGTGGACTAGTAGTCGGTAAATCCTCGCAATTCCCCGTCTGTGTTTCCTCCCTCCAGCCCCGGGGTTACAGACCCAGTTTTGTCATGGATGCTAAAACTCTGGTTCTCACATGTTACAGAACAAGCCTTCACCTGTACGGAGTCATCTCCCCAGCCCGAGGTTTGTGGTTGTTTAATGAAGTTAACAGAGCAATGAAGTTCCTGTTCACCATAGACTAAAGTCTAACCTATAGGAATGCTGTCAAGTTCATGTCCACAGACCCTGCAACTTCCCTTGTACCTGCCAGGTAAAAAGTCAGCAAGTTCGCAGAGTGGTGGAGGCACACACCTTTAATCCCAGCACTCAGGAGGCAGAGGCAGGCAGATTTCTGAGTTTGAGACCAGTCTGCTCTACAGGGTGAGTTCCAGGACAGCCAGGGCTACACAAAGAAACCCTGTCTTGACAAATCACAACCAAAACCAAAACCAAAAAAAAAAAAAAAAAGTCAGTAAGTTACCCAACTGTTCATCAAGTATACCGGGACTCGTAAGGACTAGACAGATGGCAGCAGGTGACAAAGGCACAGTCAAACATAGCTTTGTGTCACCGTGTGTCAGCTTGTTATGTAGCTACTCAAAAAGTGGAGGGTCTGAGGAATGCTGGTGGATTCTGGAGAATAATCAGTGAACACGTGAGCAGGACTGGCCTCAGCCACATGGATAAAAAGGGGGGTATGCGAAGCCGAGGGGGTTTGAGGGTGCTTAGATTTTTTAAGGAATTATTGTTTTATGCATTACACAATGAATTAAAATGCCTTTTAAAGCCAGGGGTTGTGGGAGAAGCCTCACGGATGTTACTTCTATGGTGAGGCCAGGCTGCCATAGTTTATGATTTGGGTTGAGTTACCTTGGCTGCCCAGAGGCCTCTGGAGCCGCTGTAGAGAGACCCACAGCTTCGTCCTGCCCAGGGAATGCCACCTCACCGTCTTCTGAGCTTAGACGGCTCCAGAGCACTCGTGAAATGTGGTCTAAACATACCTGCTCTCTACCCAGTTCACCCAGTGCAGACGGTGGATGCCGCCTTGGGTTTGGGTGTGGTCATTCCCCCACCACATCTGGCTTGTGTCTCTAACACTCAGTGGCTTCCTCCCACAGGACAGTCCTGCGCAGACGTCCATAACTGAGCAGGGCACCCAATGGGTGTGCCCGTGAGACAGCCACATCCTGGCTACTGTTTCATGTCGCTCCATGTGTGAATGAAGGCCTCTCCCACAGAATGGACTCCATCCAGGTCCATTGGGTGATATGGAGAAGCCACCTTCTCCTTCCAGCCCCAAAGAATTCCACTCAGCTCTTGGTGGATTCAGACTGTGCCGGCAGCCCTGGGCAGAGGCCTTCAGCGACACTCTCCAAACGCTCCCCTAGACGAGGCTAACATCCCTCAGGGAACAGGGCTCATGTTCTGCCTAGGGAGGGCATCCTGCTAAATCCTTAGAGACTGCAAGCTGCTGATTAAATTCCAGGTAGTTTGAAATCAGCCCTAATGGCAGGATTTACACCAAGGCGTCAGTCACAAACTCAAATGAGAGCCTGTTCGCCGGTGTCCATCAGGGTTAAGATACACTGGCTACAATAAGAGATTTCATGTCAACTACTCCCATAATGCACTGCAAGTCCTTCCCCCCACCCCCGCAGGGTGTAGCAGCCTCTCTGGACCAGAGACAAAGTACTTGGCAGTAATGTGTGCCCAGCAGGGTTATTTTAGGATACCCTGGTTATTTTAGGATACCATCCCCAGTTTTGGTTGTCCCCCACTGGCATTTGGTAGAGATCAAGGTCTTGGAGGTTGCTCAAAATTCTCTAATATACAGGGTATCCCACCTTAATAATGTCTTAATGTCTCATGTACCCTAGGAGCAACAGTTGAGAAACTCTGGTGACATATAACAGAGACAGACCATTCGTCAGTCAATCTGAGGTGGTGGTCAGGGGTAACAGTGGGTGTCATGGTTGGGGGACAGCAGGATGCCACACCCAGGAGGACTGAGACGTGTCATGGTCAGTCTAATTAGCACATGGCATGTATGGTACCTTCTAGCTGAGTCGGTGTACGGTGTGCTAACAGTGTGAGTACCGTTGCCCCATGCAATGGGAGGCTCAGAGAAGGCAGCAAGGCTTTAGCAGATAAGGTGACTGACTGTGTCTCAGGAGGGTTCCAAAGGCAGCTAGCTCAGCCTAGTCCAGCTCAGCCCAGCCCAGTTCAGCCCAACCCAGCCCAGTTCAGTCTAGCCCAGCTCAGCCCAGCCCAGCCCAGCCCAGTACCGCCCAGTCCAGCCCAGCCCAGTCCCGCCCAGTCCAGCCCAGCCCAGCTCAGTGTAGCCCAGCTCAGCTCAGCTTAGCTCAGCCCAGCCCGGCCCAGCTCAGCTCAGCCCAGTTCAACCCAGCCCAACCCAGCCCAGCCCAGCCCAGCTCAGCTCAGCCCAGTTCAGCCCAACTCAGCTCAGCCCAGCCCAACTCAGCTCAGCCCAGCCCACCTTACCTGTTACATGTGGATCCCTTGCACGTGTCCTTCATCTTGGTGTCACAGCGGACCACTTGGGCTAGGAGAGACATGGGAATGGGACTATGAGACCAGGAGGGTAAAACTGAGTTAGAAGACCCCTCCCCCATGCCAAGGGACTTTCTGGAATGCTCTGAAATCCGCACTATCACTAGAGAAAGAGCAATGCCTCCTGGCTCTGGGCTTCTATGGCTTGAACAGCAGAAATAAATAGACTTCATTTCTGTTTTTTTATTGTCATTTTTTAAAAGACAGATTTTCACTATTAGCCCAGGCTGGCCTCAAACTTGAAATTCTCCTGCTCAGTATGCTGGGATGACAGGCCTCCAGCACTATGCCCAGCTCCAGAGACAGTTGCGACTTTACACAAGTTACTTTCTACTGAGATCCAACTACTACCCTCAAGCTGGGGAGACGGCCGGAGCAGAGGGGCATGACCACCTTCAGAAGGCTCTTGTGAGCATTTCAAATTAAAAAGTCACATGACTATAAAGGTTGCCTGACACAAACTCAATCCCCATAGCTCCTCCTGGCTCTGAGTAACACTTTCAAAGGGATGGGAAGTACAAGGGGCATGGCTTGTGGGAGGTGGAATATACATACACAGGGGTGGGGTTTATATAAGGGCTAGTTGTAGCGGGTAGACTCATAGGGTTTGCAAGAGTCCTCATTCCAGCCTGGATACATGGATCCTGGGGATTGGAAACTATTCGCACTGGTATCCAAGTGCAGGGAGATATCCATTGACTCTGGGGGGCTTTTCACACTGCTGCAAGCCATCTTTGCAGTTAGCCTGTCATAGATACGGTCACCCCCTTGTAAGGATGAGGAAATGGAGCCTCCAAGAGTCGAGAAATGGCCTGATCTGAGAGACAGAACCTGGCAAAGGCTGCACCTGCCTACAGGCACTGATTTCTGAGTGGCCAGTATGGCCGAGAGAAGCCCAACATCATTCAAGATTCCCTTTGAAAGACCCAAGGAAAATCTAACATGAAAATATCTGCCTTGGGGTGGAGTGTTTAGCTCAGTGGGTACAGTGTTGCCCTGTGTGTGGGGAAACCCTGGTTATGTCCTAGGTATGGTGGGTGTAGAAGCAGAAGGATGAGGGGTTCAATGCCATCCTTGGCTACACGCCAAGTTTAAGAGCAGTTTGGGGCTCTAGGAGACACTACCTTCAAACAAACAAACAAACAAAGACAACATTCTGCCTGAAAGAAGAAGTTTCCTCCTGTCAGGCTAACTTATGTGGCTTAAAAACAGCATTTTCAAATAAGAATATGGGGTTGTGCCCTAGTTAGGTCTGCCCCACCCTCTCCTGTTGCCAGGTACCAAGCTTCCCTTCTCCACCAGCCCCTAGCAAAGGGATCTGGGGGCAAGCACCCCAAAGGCTGGGAACACCACTCACTCATGAAGCTGATGGCTGGGGTCTTCTTGGGCTTCGAGGGTCTGACCACCCTGGGCTGAACCCAGACATGTTTTTCCTCGGGAGCAGGGGGCGATTCCACCTCGTTCATCTCATCCACCTCCGGTTTCCGACTGTTGGGCTCTTCTAACGGTGGTAAGGGGGAAGAGAGAGAACATGCTGCATTCAACCACAACACTCTTGGACTTTGTTTCGTTGTTAAGACTGGATTTTACCGTGTAGATGAGGCTGGCCTCAAACGCATAGAAATCCACTTGCCTCTGCCTCCCCCATGCTAGGATTAAAGGGTGGTGCCCCTGGAGCCATCTCTTAAAGGCTCTTTGGAAAAAGCAGCCTGCAGACTAAGCCCTGAGATTTGGCTTCACAAAGACTCGTTTCAGCTAGAGAGAGGAGGTTACTCCGGGGACAGGCCTGCCCAGGTGGAATTCTACCAGCCCTGGGAGGATGGATGGTCAGCTCGCTTCTGTGTTTACTTTGGACCTCAGAGAAGTAGCCCTAGGTGTGGGTGGGGTGCAGCACCCACACTTGGAGGTCAGAATGGTCACTTGTCCCACCGCCTCTTCTACACAATCATCTGTCCCTGTCCCTAACCGTAGCCTCAAAGCTGTAGCTCTCTCCGAGGTCCCTCTGATTTCTGATTTTGTTGGGAAAGAGTCGCAGAGGCTCATACCACACTTCTATCCCTAGTGACAGGGACCCCTTACCTGGCTCAAGCCATGGCTCAGCAATAGAGATTTACTGTCTTAGCGTTGGACCTGGCTAGACATAGTGGCTCATGCCTGTAAACTTAGCAAGCAGGAGGCTGAAGCAGGGGGATTGCTTCAAGGTCAATCTAGCCCACATGATGAGACCCTATGCCTTAGCTGGCTTTCTATTGATGTGATAAACACCATGGTCAAAAGTAACTCAGGGAGGAGAAGGTTTATACGGCTTACAGACGACAGTTCTTTGAGGGAAGCCAAAGGAAGTACCTTGGGAGTAGGAGCTGAGGCAGGGGCCATGGAGGAGTGCTACTTACTGGCTTGTTGTCTGTGGCTTGCTCAGTCTGCTTTCTTATACAACTCAAGATCACCCGTCCAGGGGTGGTACCACTCACAGTAGGGTGGGCTGTAGCATGAGGGCCAGCTTGTTGGGGTTTCTGTCCCGCCCAGTACCCCAACAAGCCAGCAAGTCCCAAGGAAAATCACATGGAGTCTACATCAGGTTATAAACTGATTGGCTCATTAGGTCAGGCTTCTTGTTAACTCTTATAACTTATATTAACCCATTATTCTCATCTATGTTAGCCATAATGGCTCAGTACCTTTTCCAATGTGACAGCTTACATGTTGCTTCTTCAGTGATCTGCGCAGGAGTGCTGGAGGGACCTTCCTCCTTCGTAACCTTATTCTATTCTCTTTGCCCCGCCTCTACTTCCTGTCTGGTTGACCCGCCTATACTGCCTACCTGGCCAATCAGCGTTTTATTAAAATACATGATTGACAGAATACAGATAATTCTCCCACACCAGTGGGCCCTCCCACATTAGTCATTAATCAAGAAAATGCCCCCACAGGCATGCCTAGTGGCCAAGTCGACAGGAGCATTTTCTCAGTAGAGCTTCCCTCTTCCCAGACCACACTAGCTTGATCAAGTTGATCCAAAGACAAAACCAAAACGAAACAAAACAACGCCTAACCAGCATACTCTGTCTCAAACAACTTAAAGGGTGGAATGTGCGGCACAGACTTGCAATCTTCACATTACATTGGCTGAGGCAGGAGGATTGTGAGTTCAAGTCATAACGAGATCCCATCTCAAAAGGCCTGGTACATAGAGCTATCTAAAGCCCCCAGCTCCTGGTTTAAAAGAGCACAGCTTACTCAGTCTCCATCTTTTTCCACCCAGGACATCACACGCTCCTCCATCCCTATGATCATGCTCCGGCCCCAGCCCCTTCCAGAGCGCTTCACCTCATGGGCTGACTGTGCCTCCGAGCGTCAGCTCGCTAACCTCTGTTCTCATTTAGATGGGCAAAAGAAGTGGGACCACCAGGACACCAAACTGTGACCTCCAGAGCAGGCCCAAGTGTCTGTGTGTGTGGCAGAACCAGGAAGCACCTTCCACACACCTCGGAGGAGAAGGCAGGGGAGCTCCATGATGGCCAGCCAGTAAACCCACTGAACACACCTCCCAGCTCAGCCCACCCACCTCAGCCTTGCTGATTAACACTCCCGTTGGCCAATGAAGGGGGTGAGTGCCCCACGCTCCAGACTGGCAGTCTCCTTCATAAGAAAATATTATCTCCAGTACAGAGTTGTACTATCAGTGAATATGCTTGGGCCAAGACTATTTCAAGGAGCACCCACAGGCCTCTGTGATTCCACAGAGGCCCATCATCACCAAGGGCTACTGACTTTCCTGGAGCAAGGGACTGTCTTCACAGAGGGACATCTTGAGTCTTGATGTCCCTTGCCACCATGACAGGTATCCAAGCGAAGGGCCAGCAAGTGAGGCACCCTGTCTTTCTAGGTGGCGCACTGGGCAGTGTGGAGACTGATTTATCCCAGGCTAGCCCAGGCCTGAGAGGAGAAGGGATAGGGAAGGTGGAGGTGGAAAGACAGGCACATGGCTGGCTGTAATTTCATCTTTGCTCCCAGGAGCCCCAGCTTCATGACCTACTGTACCCGCAACACCCCATACACAGGAGAAGCTCAATAAAATCCCAAGTGAACGAGAGACTCAACCCCCACCCCCTGAGAGTCAAGGAGAAAGGACGTTCACCAACAAGGACTGAGGCTCCCAAGGCTGGAATTTCCAAAGCACAGGAGCACCAACCCTGGCCTGAACTTCCATGGAGCCCCTGGGCTGCACAAGGAGCCTCAAGGCCTGTTCCATCAATGCAGCCATTCACGGGCCCCTCATTGACAGCCAGGCTGTCTGGGAGTGAGCTGGGTTTCTTCCATTGGCTTAAGGATCTGACAACTCAAAAGGCCAGCTTTACTGAGAGAATCTAGTTTGGGAGGGTCTAAGATAGCTCACTCTTTCATAACAAGAGCAGGCAGTACTATATCATAGGGATGTGTGACCCAAAGGGACTTGGGTACCTCCTGGTCTGGTAACCATAACTGCATAGATCAGGGTCACTTCATGCCCAGGATATTCAACACACAGTCTGCTCCAAGCCAAGGGTCTCAGGACCCAGGGTATTGCCATCCCACTGGTTCCCCTGGCTTTGTGATTGGCGACATCTGAGCATCCAGGCCCTGACCCCACACCTCATCTTTCTACCATAAGAGACATAGCAACCACTTCACATATGAGGAAACTGAGGCTCAGAGAGGCAAGGGGATGTAGAAGGGACCCATCTGGGCTCACAGAGCTGGGATGTAGCTGGACAGAAAGTTGGGTACCTCTTGGGCCTGTTATCCCCTACAGGGTACCGGATAAAAGGAAACGTCTATCCTTATCCTTAAATCCTTGTGTCCCCATTATAGGTCATGGCCTTAAGGGTGCCACGGCACACCCTTATTTAGTGGCTTATGTAGATAAGCTGAGTTAGGGGAGGTTTTCTGCATGGTTAGCTAAGAAAACGACCATGTCTGCCAAGCAAAGTTGGGTGTTTTCCAGCACAAATAGAGAAATACGCACATGGGCACCGTGGGATGGGTAAGCTAGTGTCTGGGGCCTCCATGTGCTCTAACTTCTTGAAAGAGCCCTCTGTGGAGGGGAGAGTCTGTTTATCCACCAGCACACAGGACACACCTGCCCAGTGCCCTGGAGTGTGCCAGCAGCTGTAAGACGGGGCAGCCAAGATCCTGAGGAGTTTGGGGGTCACGAGAACTTGGTGGCAGGTGCATGTCTGTCTGATACCCAGAGACTCCCTGAAGATGGGGACATCAGACCTGCCTCCAGGGAAGAGCTATCATGGGGACCTGGCACAAGGCAGTTCATGGGACAGACTGCAGACAGGATCATGCTCTCAGGGGTCTCAATTGTCCCTGTCTCTGTCCCAGTCCTCTGGTAGTGTCCCTCACATCTGCTAGCTGGAGTGGCAAAGGGCCTGGCCTTCTGTGAATTAGGATCTCTGCTATTTCACATCCTAGAGCTCAACAGACTGACCCCCATGTCCATCTCAGGGATGGAAAAGGTCAGAGGGTCACTGCTGCAGGTTCACCCCCATCCCATGCAGTAGAGTCTGCCCACTCCCTATCCAGTCAGCCCTGGGCAGCTATTAGAACCACACAGAACAGATATCACCCTGGGGCACCCCTGACACCAACCTTCTGAGAGTCAGAACTACCCCAGAACATCAAGAGTGTTTTAAGCTGAAGAATGTGTGGTGTTTATGGTGGGAGGAAAAATGGATGCTTTCTAAAGCCCTTTGGGAGTCAACAGTCACAGGCAGAAAGCATACTGTCCCCAGGCAGCCTTGACAGCCGTCACTATCAAGAGGATAAAGGAATGGGTTCCGGACGAGGGCACCAGTGCCTGTGGCTGACTGGGTGAAACTCAAGTCACTTGTTTCATGTTAATTGACTGGATTTTGCTGGGTAGTAGTGATGCAGGCCTTTAATCCCAGCACTTGGGAGGCAGTGGGAGGCGAACTCGAAGTCAGCCTGGTCTACAAAGCAAGTTCCAGAACAGGCAGGACTACACAGAGAAACCCTGTCTCAAAAAAAAACAAAATTTAAAAAAAATCACCTGGATTTTATGTGCAGGTTTTGTTTTGGGGAGGTCCCAAGAGGTCAAGCAGAGTATTTCTATGAAACCTAGGCTGATCTCAAATTTGTGGCAATCCTCCTGCCTCAGCTACCCAAGTGCCAGGATGACAGGCATAAGCCACCACCTCTGACTTACAACCCTCTGTCTTAAGCAGACATGCTGAGGAAGGTGTGGAGGGAGTCTGAGTCCAAGGCCATACTCATTGTCCACTGGGGCTAGGCCAAGAAGCTACCTGGGGGACGGGGCATCTCAGGACAGTGGGGTCTGCAGATGGCAGGGACCAAGTGCAGAGAGCAGAGGGGTGCAGACCTAAAGGGTGGCAGGGTGGCTGCAGGGCTGGATCTGAATCTGACTCCATTTCCATTTTAGCCATCACCGCCTGTGGCTCCAAGGGCCAGAAGCCACACCAGGGCTGGAGTCCCCCGAGCCACCTACCTTGGTAGCATAGGTTGTTCCGGCAGCCGCCTCCATAGATGGGTGGGCACTCAGAGCAGGGATGCCCATGCTTGTAAGGGGCCTCACCAATCCAGTTTCCCCTGAAGACAGACCAGAGACACCATGAGCCCCATCCTTTAGGCCCAGGGGCCCATTAGGAGACCTCAAACAGAGTCTCTGATGTTGGTAGAAGGACACAGTCCTGGTATAGGAAAGGCAGCTCCTTGGCCTCCCTCTCCAGTGCCAGTCAGCCAGGGGGCTCTGGGCACCATGATGAGACCTTGTCACTGAGGACTGTTTAAGGAATGGTTCCCTGGGTGACATATGCAACCCCAAACCTATTTGAACGACCTCAGACAATGTCCCCTACTCTGAGCCATGGCTCATTAATCATACAGTGGGTAGCCTCCAGAACAGTCCTTGACCAAAGCTCTTGATAAAAACATCTATAAAGCAAAGTGGCCCACCAGGGTAGTCTGTGGTTGCTTTTGAGGGAGGCAGGGGCTCCTATCAGAGCCACTGAGAGACTGCACAGGCTCGTCCGTGCACTCTGCGGTCCTCTACAGTGGCCAAAGAGTGATGACATCACTGAGTCAGGGAGGGAAGTGGCCCACACTGGGGAGGGGTCTTGCCTCTTTCTCTGCCTCTTTCACAGTACACCCTCCTCTCTATAGATCCACAAAGACAGCTACAACAACCTCTGGGCATTGTTGTGGACCCCATAGTTCTAGCCCTGCAAGTATTTGTGCTGGGGACACAGTGGGGGGGACACTGAGATGAACCCCAGTGGGACATCAAGCATGGACTGAAACACTCTCCCTCACTGTCCATGGGAGAGCTCGATCTCCCCAGGAAACTGAGGCCCCACAGGGGTTTGTGCTACTCCCCAAGACCAGTTCTCCTCAGCACACTGATTCTGTTTCCTCAACCAGAGGCCATACCTCCAGGCTTTCAGGCCCATGAGGGCAAACGCCAGAGTTCACAGAGGCTAGCTGGCCTCTCAAGCCAGGCAGCAGATATCCAGGCTCCAGAACCTCTGACCAGCTCATGGATGGCACTTCCTTACACATGAGGCCATACAGGCAAGAGCCACGCTCACCTTGCACCATTCCCAGGTCATGGTCATTGTTCCCTCCCTGGTTCCATGATGGCAGTCTGACCAGCTCAAAGACTGGGAACCCCTCTTGAAGGAAAAGGTCATGGGCAGCAGGGGTTATCCTACAGCACTCAAAGGTGACTAGCGAACAAGCTGACTGTGGGTGGGTCTCACAGGCAATGCCTCCCCCAGTCACAATGAAGCCCAACCTACCCTGTAGCCACATTCCAACATGTGCCTTTAGGAAAGTAATTACAGTTAATTAAATCAGGAGAGTGGAGCTCTGCTCCAGGAGGACCAGTGCCCTCATGAGAAGAGGCCCAAAGAGCGTGCTCACTTTCTGCTGTCTCTCATGGCCTCGTGGGCACATGGCAGGAAGATGGACACCGACATGCCAAGATTAAATACCTCTAGGCCTCCATTTCAGACGTCCCTCCCAAACAAACATGGACGAGCAAGTGTCTGCCATTGGGCCCTGGCGTGAGGTGGCCACTACAGGTCCTAGGCTGGTTAAGCAGAAGACGGTGACGATACAGTGCCTTTACCAGGAAGGAGGAGAGAAGAGTGCCTGGGGAGCTGGAAGTTTAATTTCTGTTAAAAATCTTTTTACATTTATTTAGTGTGCATCTGTGTGCGCATGAGAGAGTTGGTTTTCTCCTTCTGCTATGTGGGTCCTGGGGATCAAACTCGGGTCATCATATCAGGCTTGGGGGCAAGCCTCCTTACCTGCTGAGCCATCCCACTGGTCCCAAGAGTTAACGTTTCTGACCAGAGCTACTGGCATTTTTAAAACATATTTAATCCAAGCTATCCCTCGCTTTCCACCTTCAGCTGTGCTAGGAACTGCCTCAGGGACCAGAGCCTTCTGGAGTGTGGCTGTGCAGCTACAGCCCCAACACCACGCGCCATGGTTTTTCCACAGTTTTTCCCCTCCCAAGCCCACAGCTCCTGATCCCCACCTCATTCCACCTCCTCTCGCCACCTGCTTTATCCCTCTAGTAAGTAAGTGTGCCAGAGAGCCTGCCACAGCGCCTGTGCCCGTGCCAGGATGGCGGCCAGCATCATTGTTCAAACCGCAGACTGCCAATGGGTAAGTGGCTATGTGCTCTGCACAGATCAGTGCAGTGAGCTGTTGGGTGAAGGGACACACTGTGACAGGGATGCTCAGGCCTCTTCAGGTAGGGAAGTCGAAGCTGAAACAAACCAGCCAGTCTGTGGCTCCACTTCAGAGAAAACAACACTCACTACTCACCCCACCACCACCACCGTTATCTTTTACTCTCTCTTGCCCGCCCTCCTCTCTCTCCACTCTGTCTCCCCTTCCCCAGCCAGACAACAGCTACTTGCACTTGGACAAGTGGCCTTGGGAGATGACTCATAAAACCAGTTGGAGTAATTGTGGTTCCCCCTTGTCTAATTCTGGCCAATGGTGTTTTGTGGGGAAATGCCAATGGAGACAAGCCATTCCTACATTCTTGCTATGTGAAGTGGAATCGTATGGGAGGACACAGTGCTGGAACTCTGCAGCCACCTTGGGGCCATGAGGACCTTAGACGGGGCCCAAGTCCTTGCTAACTCTCCGAGCCATTCGCTCACCTGGAAGCAGGGATTCCTAGACTCTTTGTGACGGAGATAACTAAAGCTTCCCTCTTGAGACCAGCTTCAGCTAGTTCCCCCGCGACACACAAATGCATCCCAGCTGGCTTGTGTGACCCAGACAACACAGTCTTACTTGGGGGAATAGTTGCAGACAAGATACACAGCATTCTCCCAGATGTCTCCCCAGACGTTTATCCTCCGACAGGTGTGTACAGCACAGCCAACCTTGTTGGTGGTGGCCCAGACCATCTGAAAAGACAGCACCGTGTTACAGCTCAGGGGCAGGGTGTCCTAGGGCAACTCTGGTAGGCAGGGCGCCAGAGAAGAGCCATCCACTGGGGGAGTGCACGCTGCCTGTTCATAACACGCTATATGCGCACAATGGTGGAAAACCTCGGTCATGTAAATTGAAGTTTCCAGAGAATACTCCAATTTTCTCCTCCCGTGAACTCAGCCAGAGCAGACAGCGGGACCAAACCAGTGTGCTCTGAGAAGCACCAAATTAGTGGAAAGACCTCAGGCAGTAAGCGCTCCTGCATTCGCCTTAGCAGACACACACCCCAGGTCTGGGGCACCCAAATTACCTGTGTGTAGTGGGTGCACATAGCACCTGAGCAGCGCTCTGGGCACCACGGGTTGCACTCGTGGGGGTAGGGATAGGTATAGTCCTTCACCTCGTCATACCAGGACTGCACATGGAACCCAGGAGAGCGGTACCTATAGGGACAAAAGTGGTAGGTGGTCCATAGGCTCCCAACCCAGGCTCCCAACCCTGCCAGCCCCTGCCTGAAACTACCCTTGCTTGGGTAGCCTCCAAGCTGCCTGCGTGCGCAGGAAATGTTTACCCGTGTCACCTTAATTATGTATTCATCTTCATGCACAACAGGTGAAATATAAGCAACTCAAGAACCCAAGACTTCAGACACACTGCAGCCAGGACCTCCTTAATTTAAGATACAAATGTGTGTAGGGCAGGCAAGGGGCTGCAGGCAGGCTTGTCAGCTCAGCTACTCCAGAGGTTAAGGTCGGAAGATGTCAAATTTAAAGCCAGCCTGGGCTCCACAGTGAGTTCATTGGGCAATTCAGTGAGAACTTGACTCAAAAAGTGAGAAAAGGGGCGGGGTGCAGCTCAGCAATAGTGATTACATGTGGGGGGGCTCCAGAGAGAGAGAAATAAGGAGGGAGGGAGGGAGGGAGGACAGAAACAGGGTTGGTCAGGGACACGCAGGGGGGATTTGCAAGGAGACAGAGAGAAAGATGGTAGGCATATGTTATAAGTTCACTTGGAGCCGAGGTAAAGGCCGGCAGACATTAAGTGAGAAGCTGAAGAGTGGTATACAGCTAGGACACTGTGGGGAGGCCACTGATCTGCGACCACTGCCCCAGGCTGGCCTTGAACTCAGGGTTCTCCTGCCTCCTCTTCCTGAGCACCGGGACTCTAGGTATGAGCCACCGGGCACTCACTGTTCTGTTTCGTTTCCATCAGGAAGAAAAAGAATAACTCGCCTATGAACCCACAGTCCCTTGGTCACCAGCAAGTGTAAACAGAGTGGTTTACAGAGAATGACTGTCGGTGACAGCGCTGCGGTCAGTCAAGCAATTTGAGGTCTTGTAACAATTACTGCCTGGGCCCAGCACCAGCAGCCGCGGTCAGCAAGTCCCCAGGACACAGCCTCCCACCCTGGTCAGCCCCTCGGAGGCACGTGCCATGAGGAGCTAGGGCAGAAAGGAATCTGCTGTCAGTCCTAGGAACCCTGTTCCAGTGCCATCATGTCTGAGGGGGAGGAAACCTACCCATCAGGGATGGGACAGTCTGTGCCTCTGATCCCATCCCTGTCCCAGGGCCCCTGGAGGGCCTCAGAAGAGGGTCAAGCACCACGCCGAAGCTATGGGGACAGAAAGGTTGTATGTGGGTCTCTGAGATGGACAAGCCATTCTCGGTCGAGGAGACACCATGCATCTAGAGGGAAACGGGCTGATAGGAGGAAAGGGATACCATCCGGGTGGGGCAGTCTGGGCGGCAGTTGGAATTTTGTTGCTGTCTTGCCAAGCAGTAGGCCATAAACAAGGAGCTGAGCCTGTCAGAGCTGCAGGTTGCCCCATTAAGTGGTTTGTGTGTTCATGATGCTGGGGGCAGAGCCCAGAACCTCGAACCTGCCAAGCAAGTACTCAACCACTCCACATTTGACAACACACAGGATCGCCAAGCCCTCTGTGTCAGTCACCTTGCAGCAGCCAGATCACTCCCGGGGTGGGGGGATGCTGCAGCTTGGGGCGCTGGCCACTCTTACCTGCCCCAGTGCACAGCCAGGTTCTGCCCGATGGACACCAACAGGCTGGCAGGCCCGTGTTCCCACAGGCACTCCTGTGCCCATGCTGCCGCGGACCTCTCCAGCTCCTCATCCCAGGTCTGTAGGGGAGAGAGATGGCAGAGACGTCAGAAGGGGGAAGGAGAAAGCCCAGTCCACGGCTGTCAGAGCTCTGGCTGTGCCTCTAACAGAGGCCTGCGAGCCCAGCTTCTCAACATGAGTGAGTGCGAAACTGAAGGGGATGGCAAATGACAGAACCAGACAGACACAGAAGGGCAAGTGAGCGTCCTGGTCACCCTCGGGCCATCCTCAGGAGCTGAGAGCCCACCCAAACCCTCGGTGAGAGCCCTGGGTGCATCCAAGTCTCTCCTTGCCTTCCTGCCATGGTCCTGGAGAGTACCTGCCTTATTTCATTTTACAGAAAAGGGAGCCAAAGCTGTGAGAAGCCAGGCTACTGAGTCACAGCCACACACCCAGCTAGTCCAGAGCTAGGCTCTGGCTCTAGGTCTGTGGGACCCATTGTGACTCTCCAGGAGCCCCATGATATGTTGGGGGGGATCAGAAATCCAAGCATTATGCAACTCCTCAGAGGCACCCCACTTGTTTCCTTTCTAGGGAACAAGATGTGGGAGGTAGTGAGGCTTCACCATTCTGTTCCCTCACACCCTTCCCTGCCTACAAGCTCATTCTTCCTAATCCCACTGGCAACCACCGCAGCCTTTAGCTTCTGTAACTGCCTTGAGTTCCTCATTCCCCTTTTGGGTTCCCTCCACCTCCTGGCCTGCTCAACTTGTCACAATGTCACCTCTAGTCAGCAGTCTCATGAGTACAAGGTCTTCTGGGCAAGAACACAACATATGTGCAATAACTCCACAGAACTCACCAGTTAGCTAATCCTCAGGCATGCAGAGGACTGAAAGGTAGGGAAGAGCCCGGTCCCCCGACACTCTTGTGTTCACCGCACACCTCCCCTGAGCAGCAGGTGTGGGGACAGGCAGCCTCGCCATGGATGTCAAGGGCCAGACCCTTCCAGATCAGTCGCTCTGGGTTTAGCTTCCCATGTGCAGCTTGGGATTAATGCTTCCTGTTCTCCCAGGTTCCCACCAGGATCCCTCGGGTCCCCATGCTCGCACCTCCGACCCAGTTCTCCATGGCACCTCTGATGGAAGACACACCACCCCATCCACCTGCCCAGGGAGTGTTGCTGGGGCGTGATCCCCCAGCAGGAGCTGTCTCAGCCTTGGCAAGAGGGTATGAGGACGGCCTGAATCTACCATCGACAACATAGCCTCTCTGAGCAATCGCTGGAACCCCATCCACGTGTGAGTGGTACCCAGCCACCCTGGGCAGTGCCTGGGAAACAGGGGGCTTTAACCTCCAAGTTTTAAAGGCTACCAAAGTAGAGGATCCAGGCCAGTGGCAACAAGAGGCCCTGTGGTGCATGACCTGCCTCTTCCCATCCTCATACCCACACTGATTTGAGAAACCCAGTCAAGGGGGACGTTTCCACCTTGGAACTCAGGGTCAAGTGACCACTTCACCTGGCTACCCAAACAGCTTGCAGCAAGAGCTCAGGAAGAAAGACCTCTGTGGCTTCTGTCATCTTCAGCCAAGACCAGCTGAAAGGGAGACGACCCAGGACCCAGGGTGCCCTTTTACGTTTCTACACCCCCAAAAATGTATACAGCCACCTCGCTCGCTGACATCTTGGAAGAGTGCCCATATTTCCCAAGGGAAAAGATGGGTGTTTGTACCACGTTCCCCAAAGGTAGCCTTGCTCAGGGCCCACATAGCTATCCACTCATTCCAGACCATGGGACCATGAAGGACCCATCAGTACCAGAGTGGTCTCTAAAGGAAAGTCACTGGCTGCTTGATGGAGGATGTGGGACTGTGACCTGGGGGACAAAGACAGAGACAGGGCTGGAGAGGGAGAGAAGCCAGGCCTCGATGCCACTGAAGCAAAGAGAGAAACGAGACATACAGCAAAGATGAGGTGGGGTGTGGTCCGGGAGGTAGCGTGCTTGTAGCCGAGCTGGTCGGTAGAGTGCTTGCTTAGCATGCACAAAACCCTGGGCTCCATCCATGCAGAAACTGGGCATGCTGGTGGACGGACACCTGCAACCCTAGCACTTGAGAGGTGGAGGTCAAGTTCAAGGTCATCCTTGACTACACATTGAGTTTGGAGGCAGCCTAAGCTGTCAGAAAAGGAGCCATGCACACCAATAACCCCGATACTTAAGGGGCTGGATATGGACCAATCAGAAGTTGAGTCATCTTCAACCACATAGTAAGTACATGAGACCTCTCAAGAAATCATGAGATACCGCGCCGGCCTTTGCCGGCCATCATTCCTGTGGGCACTCACCATATACTCCATGTTGGAGGCAGAGGGATATACCTGACCTCGCAGCTTGTTGTGCAGCATGAGGATCTCCTGGCGGTCGGACCAGGGGATGGCCCTGCGTGCCCGGGAGTGTGGCTCGGCCTGCTGGTATTTGCTCAGCAGCTTCTCCAGGCTCGTGGTGTTGGGGAGAAAAAAGGCCTGTGCTCCACAGACCAGCAGAGCCAGCCCCATTGGGACCATAGTACTTAGAAGACAGCTCATGGCCCCCACGCTTGCAGCCACGCTAAGGGGACAGGGTAGCCTGGGCTCCTGAGGCAGGACTGGGTACCAGAAAGTTCTAGAAAGAAAAGAGGAAACAGGAGACAGCGAGTTAGAACTAAGTCAGCTCTGCCCAACACCACCAAACCAGCATAGGAAGGGCTCCGTCCCTTTGGCCAAAGTCTTTGCTCACACAGAAACGCCTGGTATGCACCTGTCCCGTGGGCTTGGGACTTGTCAGGGGCAGGGTAAACAGAGGCGGGGAGGGGATGGAAGATGAACTAGAGTTCCTGAGAGAGCTGCTGCTGTCCCAGGAGGCAGGGCAGAGTCAGGGTGCCCTGACAGGCACAGTCCTCACCTCCCACCCTGGAAACTCTCCAGGGTCCCATCAGCTGCTCTCTAGTATGCCAGAGTCAAGCCTGTCTGCCCTGCTCACCCAGGGGACCAGGAAAGGCCCACTGGGTGCAATGGCCCAACCACCAAGAATGTAGACCATTCAGAGGGCCCAAGCCCTCTCAGGTCAATCACTACTATATAGGTGCATCTCCACCTGCACAGAGTCGGGTCAAAGTGACATGTCACTGTCTGTCCAGCCTGGGACCGTGGCAATGCCCCACCTGTGTTGCTTTGCACTCGGGTAGCGTAAAGGGCAGGGCCCAGAGGCCCAAAGCATCCATTGCCAGGTGACACTACTCTGCTCAACCAGATGAAAACCTAGGGCTAACTGAGGCATGCACAATCAAGGTACAATCAGTAAGGGGAATGGTAAATAGACTAGTGACAAGGAAGGGAAAACGGGGTGGAGAATTACACAGCAGGTAAAAGGAGCCGCTAGGATTATGCTTTGGTCTTAATAAATACAGCATGGAGTCAGGTGGTGGTGGCGCACGCCTTTAATCCCAGCACTCAGGAGGCAGAAGCAGGTGGATCTCTGTGAGTTCGAGGCCAGCCTGGTCTGTAGAGTGAATTCCAGAACAGCCAGGACTGTTACACAGAGAAACCCTATCTTGAAAAACCAGAATAAAATAAATAAAAAAAGAAGCGATCAGGACACAAACACAAGTAGAGGGACAAGCGTGGAAGGACACAGAGAGATAGTACCACCTGCAAGCCAAGGAGGACCCCGGGAGGAGCCAGATTCACCCACAGCTCCGTCTCTGCCTCCTGGCTTCAGGCATCATGACTGACATGTGAACTGTGGGACCAGGCCACAGCAGACCATTACACACCAGGCAATACAGAAGCAGGAAGAGGTGTGTCTCAGGTGTTGTTGGGCTGTAGCTGTAAGGAACAAGAGGGGGGGAGAAAGACAAGAGACCCCCACGACCTGGTGCATGGTGTCAAAGCAGTAAGCCACAAGCATGGGACACAGGGACGTGCCCAGCATCCCAGCCTGTGGGGACCATTCCCCATGCACTACCCAAACAGCCGCATCAAAACTAGCACCAGGGCCAGATGTGGTAGCATATTCCTGCATTCTAAGCCTAAGGCCAGAAGCTCACGAGGTCAAGGCCAGCCTGGAGTACATGTTGAGGTCAAGGCCAACCTACACTGCTTGACAAGATCTTGTATCAAAATAAAAAAATTAAGAGGCTGGAGAAATGACTCCATAGTTAAGACCACTTGCTGCCCATTCCTCGGTACTACATATGTATATCTGCCTTTTCTACCATTTTCATCTGTGTGTCATATGTGCTTGTCATGGGGTGCACAGAGAGGTTAGATGACAACTTGCTATAGTCAGTGTGGGCCCCAGGAATCAAACACAGGTCATCAGGCTGGGAAGCAAGCACCGTTACCCACTTATTAAGTCTTCGCACGGGCCCCAAAACCTTTTGTGAAGTAGGCCCACATGCTGTCCTGGATCACCAGAACTGAGCAACGACTGAGCTGATCCTGACAAGGAATCTTGGCGGCTTCTAGAAGGAGCCCTGCCCTTCTCTAGTTGCCGTGTGAGCACCTGGCTGCCATGGCTCTCCATTATCCAGAGTTGTGGTCCTATGGCTCCCATTCTACAAATGGGACAGAGCTTGAGTTAAGATGGTTGTCCAACACTGGACAGCCAGAGACAGGAGCTGGGGCTACAGGGGTGGTCACCCTGTTTCATGACACTCTCCAGAAGGGCTCTTCTTTGAGTGGAGAATACCAATGTATCCTATCAGGGACACGGACACCCAAAAGCATAGCAGCAAGGCCTGGCTCTGGGGCTCTGGCATTCCATCCTGCCTCCTAGGAAGGACGCTGGGAAGCTGCGCACGTGGTGACTCTGTAGCCAAAGACTCCTAATGTGTCACCCCGGGGAGATGAAGAAAGCCTCTGGGATACTTGCCCAGGACATGCCCCTCCTTGGCAGACACACACGCAGTACCATCTGTGCTGTGTCCTTGATACACTGTGAGCTTCCCTCTCCAGCTGCAGCCACATCCTCATTCCCTCGGTCTTTCAGCTGGACGCAGTGAGGCCCTGGGCCCCAGCTCCCCCAGCATCCGGGATAAGGTTCACGTTCCCGGTATCTTCTCTCTCACCTGCTTCTCCCTGGCCTCACCAAATTCAATACCCTCGCCTCGTTTCTTTTCTCTTCTTTCCTTTTCTGCATACAGTGTGCATGGGTGGGTGTGTATGTCCCCACATGTTTGCATGCATACCCACAGGTATCCACGCATGTGCCAAGGTTGATGTCAGAGGTCTTCCTCAATCCCTCTGCACCTTATCTGTTGAGGCAGAGGCTCTTGCTGTTTCATCTAGTCTGTGAAGCCAGCTTGCTCCTGGGATTCCACCTCTGTCTCCTGTGTGCTGGTATTACAGGTAGCTGCCACACCTGCCCAGATTTTACAGTGGTCCTAGTGATCCGAACGCTGGTTCTGACGCTTGCACAGGGATCTGTTTACACACTGAGCCATCCCTCTTACTCTCAACACCATTTCTAGAGGAGCCTCCCCCTACCAACCTTCTGACACTCTATTGCTCACCAACTCAGACTGCCCCCCGGGGGCTGCAGGCCCACACAGCCAAGAAGGTTTCTGCATGATCTCACTCTCTTTTGCCAGAGTTACAGAACAGAACTCAGAAGACCCCAGGGAGCTAAAGCATCCAGTTCCCACAATAACAAGGCAAGAGGGATACAGGAAGCTTAGACCATACTTTAGGATTCCAGGGCCAATGGTGAGACTCGGGTTGTGAAATCAACTCTGCTGGAATGCCTACATTCCTAGGGCTGGGCATGCATTGGGCCATGATTGCGGACGGAAGGTTTGCAGCCCCATTTTACAGCAGACAAAGCTGAGTCCTGTACACATTATCAGGTCTGGGAGTCTGGGTGGCCAGCTGGAGGGGGAACCAAGGCTGGAAACCCAGCTCCTTGAAGCCTTGAGGACAACGCAGCTGCCGTCATATTAGCCCTCCAGTGACCCCACCAGTCCCGGATGGCACTTGATGCCATTCAGAGCTCTAAAAGAGGTTTTGATGGAAAGCCAGCAAAGCCCCTGATCCAGAAACGAGGGGCCGACGGGGAAGGTGGTTGCATCATGCGGCCCAGCTGCTCTGTGTTTGGGAAAGCCTGCCAAGAAGATGTCAGAGCTAAGACACCAGCTGCTGGCCCGGCCTCTGCACACGCTGTTCCTTCAGCCCAGCCCCTGACCCCAACGTGCCCGCTGCCAAGCCCGCCAGTAAACTTCTGCTCACCATGGGCTCCCCTTCCTGGAAAGCCTTGTGGGAATTAATCACTCCATGGACCTGTCAGCCTTCTCACCACCGAGTCCCAGAGCCTGTCTGACACATCTCTGCTCAATAAATATTTATGGAATGAATGGGGAGGGGCATGCCTCCTCTGTTCTGGATCAGAGGAGCCATATAAGGACTGTGGTCCACGGTGGACTCTGTTGGCTGCATCCTGGGCTTCCAGGAAAACAGAACCTGGGTTCAATCCTGATGTTGCCCCCCACCAGCTGTGTGGCCTCAGGCAAAGCATCAGCTTCTCGGGGCTTCATCTGCATATACGGGGGGGGGCTCTCTAAGTCCCACATCTTCGAGTGATAGACATGAGTTAGTCCTAGTGGAAATAGAATGCAACAGGCTTTCAAAGGCTTAGACTGGGGCTTGGGACTCAACTCAGCCAATAGCGTGCCTAGCCTCTTGGTTCCACCCCCAACTCAGGAGGTAGAGGCAGGAAGATCAGACGTTCAAGGCCGTCCTCGGCCACATAGTAAATTTGAGACTAACCTAGGCTACATGAGACCCATTCTCAAACAAACAAACAAAAGAGGGCAGTTGGGACCAAGGGCTAAGAGGGAGACAGGTCTTCCTGTAACTGTTATTTCAAAGTCTCCCCTTTGCCTTAGCCAAACGGAGCCTTAAAATCCTGTTAAACATCTCATGCTTGAGAGAAATGAAGCCCCAGTACTCTTGACTCAGGATGGCCGTTAGTCTGAGCTACTTGGCTCTCTGGGGAAAAGGGTCCCAGGACATCGGGCCGGAGGCTCAGTGTCACCCCCTGGCTGGGAACCACCCAGACAACTGTGCACAGATGTGAAGCTTATCATCTGGGAGCCCCCTCCTGTGTCTGTCTGGGAGCTGGGTCCCCAGTACTGGACCTGCACTGTGCACCTCTCCCGCTAGCTGACTACAGCAAGCTTCTTATGTGTTAGACACTCAAGCGAATGGCCTGTTCTGTGGCGCTCACCCATCCCTTTGGTGCATAGGTGCCACTGTGGCCAATCTCAAGCTCCCCATCCGTGTGACATCACTGAAGACAGTGTCTGTAGGAAAAACCACCGCAGTTGCCCACTGGCCATCCGCCAGCTCAGGACACAGACAGTGAGATGCAACCCAAACAGTCTGAGCCAGAAGACTCTGCTGCCTTCGGTTCAAATGTGCCTTCTTCAAGTCTGTGTGAATTCGCCTTCATGGAGGTTCTGTTATCTGATTTGCAAACTATCGGGAAATTGAGCTGTCAGCTCCCATGAACTGATGGGCCAGTCCTGGCACTCCAAAGATGGGTGAGTCCATGTCCACAGTGATGACCTGGCCAAGGTGTGATGGGTGGGGATGGCCCAGTGGTGCACGCTCCTTCATTTCTGGAAT